TGAGTGTTGAACAATTTTTCCTAGGGTAATCTAGTTATTGTAGAGTGTTGCGTTGGTTAATGCCTTTTAGCTTGTGCATGTTGTAATGAGAAGCTTGCGTTCCTCCTTGTTGGAAGACGTGTTGAATGGTCTTTAGATACATAGGAAAACGATTTGTAAGAAAACCAGAACCATTGAAAGAAAATTTGAAATCTCTAGGCTAAGCATTTGAATGACTGAGTTGTTTTAGATATGAGCTAATCATATTTTTCTTATAAATTGTAAGTAATATTGTAATGATGCTTTTTTAACTGTTTAGGTTACCGCTTTAGACATAAAGAAAAATTGATGATACTTAAATATATGATTGCTTAGTTGCTCAATGCGGATCACCTGACTGAAAGGTTTTCTTGCAGATGATACTTTATGATACACCAGGTGTTATCGAGAAGAAAATGCACAAGTTGGATTCTATGATGATGAAGAATGTTAGGAGTGCTGCCATCAATGCTGACTGCGTACTAGTTATTGTTGATGCTTGCAGAGCACCTGAAAAGGTATGCTAATTGTTTGTGCAATTATTTGCAGTTCTTTCTTTCTACTTTTCTTCTAAATTCCATTTCTTGATTAGATTGATGAAATGCTGGAAGAAGGTGTGGGAAACCTCAAAGACAATGTGCCCACTTTACTTGTATTGAACAAGAAAGACTTGATCAAACCTGGTGAAATTGCAAAGAAACTTGAGGTGAGATCTTTTTGATTGATACTTATTTTGGCATGATAAGTTGTCTTCATTATTTATGTTTGATAATTATCTTTTCTTTCTTTCTTTCTTTCTTTTTGGTTTATGACTTTTGATCATTATTACGCCAATAATAAGATAATTTGCCAAGTAATGTAATTAAGAGATAAAGGGTAGATCAAATTTGTCCTCGAGTTGTCACCTATTCTTCTATATCTGTGATTGCACTTGCCTACATTTAGATTCTTCTGACATTGATAAAATATCCTGTCCATCAACACAAGAAAATCAGAAGTTAAATGTATGGTCAGCCGGTGCATTGGCTGTAAATATGAATCAAAAGTTTCTTACATGTATTTTGGTGGTTGATTTCATATGATTGTAATGATTTGTGCTAAATGCAATAGTGGTTATGATAGCAAATTGTCAATGTCATGTTGGATGTTCTATGGTCTTGTCTTGCCAGAGAATATCTACTGTCCTAAAAAATGGTATTTTATGTTTTCTATGCTTCTTTAAATAACTCTGATCCCTGAACAGATTTCACTTTTTTGCAGTGGTATGAGAAATTTACAGGTGTTGATGAGGTCATACCTGTGAGTGCCAAATTTGGTCAAGGAGTGGAAGATATCAAGGAATGGATACTTTCAAAACTTCCCATGGGGCCAGCTTATTATCCAAAGGTACATTGAACTGAACTACATGTTTCTTTTTTTCCCCTTTTTTCTCTGAGTAAATGTTTTTTTATCTGAGTAAACATAGACGTATTCTCTGGAGGTAGTTAATCATTTGAACTTAACTACATGAATGAAACAGTATATTATCTTGAGCGCCTGGTCTGCTAGTGGTTAATTAATTATAAAATATGAGAAAGCAAACCACGAAACTTAACTTCCATTTTTGCTATGCATTACACCTAAAAGAAGCCAGCAGTAAGTAACTCCGTTGATCTTCCATTATTTGAGTCTTGTCACTGGTGCCACTGACATGGTAAGACATTGCCTTATTTATTCTTGTCTTATCTGTTTGTGATCACAAATGATATAAGCAGTATTGCCATCTGTGGTTGGCTTTGGATTGTTTTCCTTATTTTCCTATTGTGTTTTCACACATTAGGCTGTTTTTGCTTTGACATTCTCAGGACATTGTTAGTGAGCACCCAGAAAGATTCTTCGTAGCTGAAATTGTAAGAGAAAAGATCTTTATGCAATTCCGCAATGAGGTTCCTTATGCATGTCAGGTAAACTATGGTGTCCCAAGGTTGGCTAATATCTTCTGCTCCTCAACCCACCAAAACCAGCTTTAGTTGATGAATAACAACAACGTTGGTTTCTCTGTGTACCCTGTAGGTCAATGTGGTCAGCTATAAAGCTAGGCCAACAGCCAAAGATTTTATTCAAGTGGAGATTGTTGTTGAGAAGAACACACAGAAGATCATTATCATTGGAAAAGTAAGTTGGCCTTTTAGTTATGGAATGGATCATGAAATGGCAAGCTGTTTTCAAGTGCATATATGACTTGGTATATTAATGAGATCTCAAGAAGCTATTGCTTGACTGATTTAAACCGTGATTGTTTTAGATTGTACTGGATATCAGAGATTCAATCCAAAGATTAAGTGTGTGCGCCTGTAAACACACATGTGCATAACATTTTGTGCAGTTCTTTTTTTTTTTTTGGTCTTAATTCGAGTGCACTTAACCACTGCAGGAAGGGAAGGCTTTGAAATTACTTGCCACAGCTGCTCGGCTGGACATTGAGGATTTCCTTCAGAAGAAAGTATATCTTGAGGTAAAGAGTTACTCAGTAACAACTTCATAATCATCAGTCATATATCATTACTTGGCCATTCTGTTTTGTTGGTTGTTTAGTTTACCTTGACATGTTTCTGTGTCAGACATGTTGTAAAAATAAACATTGGCACTGTTCCCTTCCCTCCAAATATGAGGGTAAATACAGAAAAATCAAATACTAATTTCCAATGTGAGTACATACCTGAAAGCTAACACTGTGTACTGAAATGTCAATCCACACAAATGTTCTTTATTCCATATTGCATTTTCAAACTTCAAGATTTTTATCTTATATTTTACCAAATGCATGACTCATTTTTTAAACAGATAGAAGTGAAAGTAAAAGAGAATTGGCGGCAAGATGAAGGGCTTTTGAAGTATTATGGCTATGGAGGGCAAATTAGCGCATTATAGCATGAAGTTTTTATCAATTTGTCTGCATTCAACCGGTGCAAGTGAAGCTGCCACACCATTGTAAAATTGTTACATAGAGTTCATTCCAATTTTCCATTTGCTTTGATCTTTTCCAGTTAATAGAAGCCTTGTCGATCCTCTCAGTAGTTAGGCCAGCTGTTGTTGTAACTTGTAACCTTGGCTGGAAAATTTTGTCCGTCCATGGGCAATGCTCTGCCCCATTCTCTATGTGTGAGCGAAAAACACCAGCCATATCTTCATGTTGTTACCAGCCAAGTTTGAGACAGTGGCTTAAAAGTGGGCATGGCTATAGATCTTGGGCCAAATGGTATGACCTCATGGGCGATTCTCTTTAGAATTGAAGCTTTCAATCTAGGAAAAAGGGTGTTGGTGGTTAGAAAATACTACTTTTTTCAGGTTTTCTATAAAGAATATGTTTTAGGTTGAATCATTTTTTAGACTATAAAAAGTCAAAGTCAAAATTTGATGCATGCCACCTGAAATATTTAAGTGATAATGATGTATTTTTTTAAAAAGAAATTAAAATAATACATTGAATTATTCGAGTTAATTTCATTTATAAAACTGCAATTCAAGGTATAAGATTGTTGCAAAACTTTCAGATCTAAATTAAATCTTGTTTTGCTTTTAAGAATATTTTAGTAATTTAATTGCGCATATAAAAAGAAGGTAGTGGCCCTGACTAATTCAAAAATGTCTAATCCACGTTAGATGAGGGTGAGTTTGAGATTTTTTGAATGATAAAGTGGTAAATTTATTGTTTCAATTCATAACAATTGATTGAGACGAATCTTTTGAATCTTTTAAACATAGGTTTTTAAATTCATAACATAGACTTGGGTTTAGTTAAAATTAAATTAGTAAGCAACTTTTTAAAAATTATTACTAATATTAATTAAAATATCAATTTTTTCTTTAAGATCAAACGAGAAAAAATAATATGAGATTATGAATAAGCTTTTGTTTTAAAATTTTTTATTTTAAGGGCAATAAAGTAATTATATTGTTTTTTGAAAAATAATTTTTTTTAAAAAAAAAAACTAAACCTAAGTTAAGTGTTATTTTACTTTTAAATTTTTTTTTTTAAAAAAAAAACTAAACTTAAGTTAAGTGTTATTTTACTTTTAAAGATATTCTAGTAATTTAACTATTCAACAAAGTTATAAAAAGTACTATCTTGATCCATTAAAAAAATATCTAATTCATAATAATTGAAGGAGGGTAATTGTGAAATTTTTTGAAGGATAAAATAGTAAATTTATTGTTTCAATCTATAAAAATTAGTCTAGATGAATCTTCTAAATATGAATTAATCTTTTAAATTCATAACCCATGAAATTATAAATTTAGATTCAATTAAAAAACTCAATTATTAACTAATTTAATGTTATAAGATAAAATAAAAAAATTTAATTTAAAAATTTAAAAATAGCAATAAAAAATGAGTATTAAATACGAAAGGAAAAAACGAAAGATAGTGAAATTGAAAAAAAAATAAAAAAACTATCTTTAATAAAAAAAAATAAAAAAATATAGATCTAATAGACTAAAAAAATTAAAGGATAATTAAATTGCAAATAAAAATTAATTTTGAGAAATTAATTAAAATAAAATAAATAATAATAATAATAATAATAATAATAGACCAGATCTAAAGTAAACAAACTTAGAAGGTTGATTTGCAAATCTGGAGGGCTACATGTGGATTTGCAAGAGGAGAAAACAAAATAAAGGGAAAAACAAAGTTGTTGGCATTGAATTGAATATATGTCGATCATACACGCAAACTAAAAAAAAATAAAATGCTGAGATAAATAGAATGACACGGGAAAATATTGTTTTTATCATCGAAGTTAATTACACGTGTTATCTAACAACAATAAAGCAACTAACCAATACAACACATAAATTAGTAGTTTTTTTATTTTTTTATTTATCAAAATACTACATCAACCTTGAAACCAAATAATTATATATATATAAAAAAAAACACATTTGGAAATCATAATCTCATGCAGTCAAATTTTAAGAATCTCAATTTAAAGAGCAATAAAATCATTACATTGAGCTTGAAAAGTGAGACATAAAAAAAGAACCCCTGCATCATTGTTAAGTGTTTTTTTTTTTTAAAAAAAAGAAGATGAATCAAGTAATTTAATCATGAAAAGACCACCGGATGTCCCTGATTAATCACTGATAAACCCAGTAAAAAGGCTCATTCACTCGATAAAGCCAGTTAATTGATTTTCCTGGTGAAGAACAAAGATATAATTTAACTGGTTCAATAATCAAGAGTGAATTATATAGTAGGATTAGGTTCTGCTAATGCAAACAAGTGATCAAGGACCCAAATGTCCTTCTAGATGCTTCACAAGCTGCTGGTAAATCCCAGAACTGTAGTTTTCAGTGCACGGCCAGACATCACATGCCACGGGTCTTCAGACAGGTTAGATCTCTCGAAACCCTCATTAACCTGTCAGTTCCCAAGTGACGAAATTCTACATCACAAAACTAAAGTGATGTCTCTCGATAAACAGTAATGCACCTGTCACGTAGTAGAATGTGATAATGACACCATCTATCGTCTTCCGAGCTCTTTATTTTGTCTTAGATGGTGTGATTGGGTTTGTCCCACCATTGATGATCCATGTTCCTTCACACAATCTTAGATTGTGCTTGGATCATATAAAAAGTTGATATCTGGACAGGGGCCACAAGGAAGAGTGGTAAGATTATGAATTCTATTTTATACCTCTTGTCTCTCCTCTCCTCCCTCCCTCTCTTTCTCTCTCTCTCTCTCAACAAAACACCCTAATTTGAGTCGAGTTGATGTCGGCTACTTAAAGCCAATTCCATTTTTTCATTGAATTTTTCTTGTTTTTATTCCTATCTATCAGAGATTTTTCTCCCACTTCTGTTTATTTTTACAATCAAAACTTGTTTTTTTTTAAAAAAAAAGATATGCTTACCCTTTTAAATTAGAGTTCTACATATACTGTTGTTCTAAAGGAATTGACATTTACTGGCAATGCTGGGAGGAGGCCAAAACTTACCATCCATGAGGCCTAATAGTGCATCTCCTTCCTCGGTTGTCTCCAAGAGAAAGATATTTGTCTACATGTATAATTTGAAAAAAAAATCATACTTTATGAAAGCTCAAAGATCTTTATGTTTTATCCATCATGAATTGACAGATGTTGCTTACAGGATTATAACTCGCCAAAATTGTTAAGATTTTTAGCATATTTCTTGAACATATATTAAGAAAATAATATACTTTGCATCCATTTGATATTATCATATATTAAAAAAATAAAATAAATGGTAGGACCATGAAGGGGGAAAGGCACTCTAACTCACATGGGTTCATCAATGAAATCCATGAACTTTTGACGCGTTGGTGGGTAAGATGGAGACGTTAAGAGCAGCAAATATCTGAAGGTGACCTTTCTCTATCAAGATTTAAAGGTATTTACTGCTGATTTAAAAATTTATTAGATTAATTATTTTAGAAACAAAGTGATATTTTATAGTTAGAATATTTTTATAAAAGTAATTTTAAAAATTAAAAAGAAAAAAAAAATTCATTTTGTAAAAGGTTAGGTTCGGTTTATATATATATATATATATATATATAGAATCGGCTACTTCTAATAAGTTCTCTAAATATATGAACAGATTAGACCTTAACCAATAACCAACAATGTCTTTCTACTAGCTAAAGCTACATGAACACACACATGCATGTTTTTCTGTATTTGTTATATTCAATGAGCATGGTGAATGATTGGCCTGCCATGCCATGCCCTTCATGAAAAGCTCCCTCTCAGAGACCATCATGGTTAATGAAGTATTGATCAAAAGGCTACTGGGTTCATCTTTTGCTTGTTGAAAATGAATGGCTGCTATATCGCCAGTTCTTATACAAGATGGCAAAGGGTTATCTAGTACTTGGTCTGGTTTTGCTAAGGTTACCAGCTGTGAACGGGCATTGACCCTGGTTGTTGGGTGGGTTCTGGACATTGAACACCCATGATACGAGCAACCCCGTCGTAGTTACAGCAAAGAGGTGGCAACTAATTAAAGAGAAATGCAAATAGGCAACAGGGTTAAAGAAGTAACCAGCTATTATACTTAAAGAAAGATGCCAAATGCTTTATTAAAGGAGAGAAAGACAAATGCTACACTAGAATTTTCAGCGAGGAATTTCACATAGTAAGAGATTTGGGACTAGAATCAACGTAGCTTCTTCTTGATCTTTCATATTTGCTTTACGCATGTCAAAACTAGCCCGGTTTGACGAGGCCATTTAGAATTGGATGTAAACTAGTTTTATTAAAAAAAATAAAAAGAACTGATTTGTTATTTGGTAATTTTTTTAATAAATTAAAATAATATTATTCTAAATTTTCTAAATAAATATTTTTATCTGATTCAAACTAAGTTTTTTCGTCAAACTGAAATTAAATATCGATCTAACAATTTAGGTGATTGCTATGCTTTATGCCATGAAATGGCCGTGATTTATGGAGACTATGACAATGTGTTTGTGATGTATGGGAAAAGAGATGATCGTGGGGACTCCAAAGGGATAAAAGAATTTTACCTTGGAGGTTTAGAGGAAAGATAATGGATTGGTGACTTACCCAAAAAAACAAGATAATGGATTGGTGGCCTTTTCAAGGTCCTGTTCTACATGGCAGAAAGAGAAAGTAAAAAAAAGCTTTGTCTGTTTCTCTATCGGCAGTTGCTTGTAGCGTTTTGATAATCTTGCAGTTTGTAAAGGAAAAAACTTCTCCCAGCTTTAAACAGCAATCCTCCCTTCCCGTTAGGCTTAAGATTCCTTCTGATAGAGTCAGTGTGTGTGTGTGTGAGAGAGGGAGAAAGAGATGAGGCATTTGACTTTGGTTCTTTTGCTAACCATTTTGATCCATCAAGGATGTCTTCATTTCCATGTTGAAGCAGGAGATGGTTTCATTAGAGCTAGAGGAGTGCAGTTCTTGTTGAATGGTAGCCCTTACTATGCAAATGGCTTCAATGCTTACTGGTTGATGTATACAGCTTCTGATCCATCCCAGAGATCAAAAGTTTCAGCTGCATTTCGTGAAGCAGCAAGCCATGGTCTCACTGTGGCCAGAACCTGGGCTTTTAGTGATGGTGGTTACAGTCCTCTACAGTACTCCCCTGGTTCCTACAATGAACAAATGTTTAAGGTCCTTGAATCTTTGTTCCTTTTAGCTATGCCTCTTCTTAAATCTTCAAAACTCACAAACTTGCTGATCTATTTTTCTTTTGACAATCTGTAAAGGGGTTGGATTTTGTTATAGCTGAGGCTAGAAGATATGGGATCAAGCTCATTCTAAGCTTGGCTAACAACTATGATAGCTTTGGAGGGAAGAAACAGTATGTGAACTGGGCGAGAAGTCGAGGGCAGTATCTGACATCTGAAGATGATTTCTTTAGACACCCTGTTGTCAAGGGTTACTACAAGAACCATGTCAAGGCAAGAGTCTTTTCTCCCTGGTATAATATCTATATGCATATGAATTCCTCTTTCTTTTTTGTCTCTTTCCCCCCTGGTAGGCATACATGGCATGGATTTCTTCAAACTTGTATAGCAGACTAAAGAATCAGAAACTGTGAGCTGTAGAACATGCAACTTGCCCTGCGTTCTCGTCATGATTTATCTCTGATATCTTCTTTCAATATTTCACTCCAGTTTGTATAGTGTTCTATGACAGAATTAACAGTCATAAAGAAGCATTTCTGGACTTTTCCTGTTTGAGACATGATGCATACATATGAAGTCAATATTAACTTATGTATGACCTTTTGTTTTTGCAGACCGTTCTTTATAGATATAACAGCTTTACTGGAATTCATTACAAAGATGATCCAACAATCATGGCATGGGAGCTTATGAATGAGCCTAGATGCACATCTGATCCTTCTGGAAGAACCATTCAGGTTTATTTACCTCCCCTATTCTTGTTGTCTTTTCTTTATTTCTTTCCTATCCCTGGATGGATCTAACCTCAAAGTTGTGCACTTCAACCACTCTTCTTAACTGTTGTTGGCTTTGGTGCTTGTTTGATATAGGCCTGGATAACAGGAATGGCTTCCTTTGTGAAGTCAATTGACAGGAATCACTTACTGGAAGTTGGTTTAGAAGGATTTTATGGACCTTCAACGCCACAGAGGAACAGACTCAATCCTGGTTTGAAGATAGGAACAGACTTCATCGCAAATAACCGCATCCCCGGAATTGATTTTGCAACAGCCCATGCATATCCTGATCAATGGTAACTTGCAATATAATAAAAACTTCAGAATCTGCTATACTCGAGAACCAATTTGCATTACAACAGAGATATGTCCTTCTAGATTGAATCCTTGTGTAGCCTATACTTGTTAAAAGTTGAATAGCCGCTACTAAATGGATAAATGCCACTGGGTTGATCAGATTTGTAGCTATCCACAGAAATCCATGTTGACCGAGCTATTGAATTACTGTAACAGAACCATGCCTCAATTACCTTGTTGATTGTTTCTTACATGCTCTTGATGCTTGAACAGGTTATCCAGCTCTAGTGATCGATCCCAACTTTCCTTTTTGAACAACTGGCTTGACACTCACATACAAGATGCGCAAAACATTCTTCGAAAACCAATACTCATTGCAGAATTTGGAAAATCTTGGAAAGACCCTGGTTTCAGCACATACCAGAGAGACCTAATGTTCAATACCGTGTACTACAAGATCTATTCATCAGCTAAAAGAGGAGGAGCAGCTGCAGGAGGCCTGTTTTGGCAACTTTTAACTGAAGGAATGGGCAATTTTCGTGACGGGTATGAAGTAGTCCTGGGGCAACCTTCCTCAACTGCAAATGTTATAGCTCAACAGGCACACAAGCTTAAACAAATTCGAAAGATATTTATGAGAACGAGAAATGTGGAGAGGTGGAAGAAAGCAAGGGCCGCCAGGGCTAGGAGGGGTCGTTGGCAGGGTGGAAATAAAGGCAAGCGTATTGGAAACTGAAAGCACTATGATTTTAGCACGTCAAAGCTAGTGTTGTAAAAAATGATGTCCCATAGAAGAAGCTGTTGTGTTTTGAGTGTAATGAGTGAGATTCTGGGGAAATGGTAAATCTCTCTTAGAGATGAATGGTGCTCGTCTAGGAGTGTAGCCAAGTCAAATATATTATACAAGATCAACTTCTCAGTATCTGTACTTGAGCTTGAGACCTACTTTTCGTAGAAGTAAATTCAAGTGAGTTTCCATGGCACTAGCATGACCTAGGTTGCGACAATTTCTGGCAGGGATCATCATGTTTGAACGCATCAATTCCATTGACCTTAGTTTCATTGCTGCGGAAACTTGCAGAGGAATAAAAGAAACTTGAATACAGAACAAAGTAAAATCAACGATGCTATTTGCCCCCTAGATAGAAAGCTCTTTTTCTAACATTTTGGAAATGTTAAGACTAAACTGTATGGTGTTCGTGCATGTATCGGCACAGCCTTAGGTTCACAAAAAGGCTAAAGACATGATTCCAGATGATCATTGACCCAAACAAAATTTAATCACCTCCCAGATTGCCAGTAAGGCAGTAATGAATTATTATGATGGTAATGGTAACCCGGCAATCTCAGCAGGCAGGAAAATTGCTAGGAACAAAAGCAAGAGGTTGGTATTCAAAAGACAGCATATACAATATTGTATTCTCCTCTTCTGTGACATGACATCGGAGTCTACTGGTCGGTCAGATGCTCATCAATTAGCTGTATCATCATGCTCTGGAGCATGAGAATCACTGGAAGAAGATGATCCACTCATTGCTGGGAGATATGACCATGCCAAGGTTGTCATGCCAAGGGTGATTGCAGCAGCAATCGAGCCCCAAACCCACTTCTGCCTCCTTTTCCTTATCTCCCTATTACGACGTGCTGTTTCTGCAAATTTAGAAGCCAAAAAATTAGAACAAGAATCTAGTAATACAATCTAATGGGGCTCGAATTAGGGCTGGTAACTGGAACCTTAACTAAGGCTGTGAATTGAGCATGCTTACAACAGGAGATCTCAACATTTTTCTTAATTCACACTTGTTCAAAAGTTCCCCACTCAACGCATTTAGAAAGAATGCAAGAACTGATGGTTTCAAACCAACCCAAACTTGCCAATTAAATTGAACTACTGAAAACCAGTTAGGCCACTGGGTCTACATGCAAATAATGGTATAACCACTAACCATACATGCAAACTTGCCAATCAAATTGAACTACTGAAAACCAGTTAGGCCACTGGGTCTGGTCAATCATACATGCATATAATGGTAAAACCACTAACCACTGGGTCGGGGTGCTTAAATGTTAGCAGCACTGTTTTAAGCTTTCTAGTTGGCTAGATCAACAAACTGTGCAGGAAATTTCATAACTAGTTTTATAAATTCCTAACCCAGCTATAAGCCAATCACCACCAAGCCAGTACCATCCTTCTAGGAGTACACCAGATTTCTCAACTTTATTTTTTTGGGTCCAATAACTTGAATGGGTTTAGAGCATCAGCATGAAGCAGCATACATTAAAAATTAGAAATGCAGCTAAGTTTTTTTTTTTTAATTCCACAAGCAACACCAGTTAAAAATAAATGAGCAAGCTGACTAGCAAAACCTTTGAACATTTAACAAAAATCTCACCTATAACTTCTTGGTTCCACTGAGACAGTTCTCGATTCACAGCCTCGTAATAATGAAGTCGGTCCAACAATCGAGCAATTTCAAAGTTCTTTGCTTCAACCTGAGCTTCCATCTCTATCTCAACCTCAGCTTTTGCAATGCCCCTTCCTATAGATTCTGATACGAACCGAGCAAGATAGATCTGCTTGCAAATCTCCTCTGCAGGATTCGCATCTGATGGCTGATCACTCTCTGGCACATCAACAGGACAAGCAGGGAGGGAAAGCCCTACCAGAGCTAATTCTTGTCTGATCCTCTGCCACTGGCTTTGCATATTATCCAAAGCCTCCTCTGCTTGCTTCCGCTTCTCTATCTCCATCAACAAACTCAATCTCATTTCACGCAATTCAGCTCCATTGTTGTGAGGAGAAGGAGAAGGCTGTTGCCCACTCTCAGAGGATAGCTCTAGTGATAGTAAAAACACAAGAGTAAGCTTCTGCATTCTTTTATGACTCTATTACTTACAATTTGTCACACTACTACTTTTGCTAAGAGAATCCAGAAATAGTCTTGGGAAACAATAATGCTTGAAATCATCATTTTAAACAGCTGCTTATTTTGTATCCATATGAGTCAATGAACAACGAATGAGAAACTCACCATTCAGAAGCAAAATATGTGGTAAAAGGATGCCAGACTAAAGACGAGATGACAAACAATATAATGTATGCAAATAACAAAAGAAAGGACACAACACACCATATAGAAAATGTAACAGGAGCAATGACTCCCCAGCATCATAGCTGCAACAAGCTATGAGATGCTTCTTAAATGTGGCAGATTAAAAGCAAGATGCCAAACTACATGATGCAAGCAGATAAAAAAAAGATGAACAAGCAACTATAACTTTTCTAACAACCACATGATCTACTAAAGTAAAACAAACACAGAATGATGCAAGATATGAACACCCAAGTACCTTCCCAAGCATCATAGAACTCTCCTACTGGCAAAGCTGCAGTAAGCTTCATAGAACTCCCAACTGCAGTGGTGTCCTCAACATCAGTGTTGCTAGTATAACTCATGGAATCCTGTGGATCAAAGAAATCATCACTGTCCCCATTTCTTTCCACATTCTGCTCAATCGGCTTCAACATATCCTTTTCCATGGACAAGTCCTTCCTCGTATCACCAGTCCCAAGTTGCACACGACTGCTCCCTATTTCACCACCATGGCTTCCATTAACATGGCCCACTTCAATAGGACAATCATGGACACCATTCACAACATCCTCTTTACCAGGACACCTGTTTACATCATTCACGAACTCACCTTCAACAGAACTAGGGATGAAAAGAGTAACTGAATGCCCATTACTTGAATCAACAACCTTATTTACCCCATTATTCACATTCCCATTCGCCTCAACTTTCTCCAATTTCTTCTTCCTAGAAGCTACATCATCCTCCGAAAAGCTCTTTGAGAGGCGTGGCCCGCGTCTCTTGTGATTAATAATATAAGGCGAAGGAGGAAACGAAGTTGGTGAATCAGGGAGTGGGGTCGATTCAGGAGTCGCATACAGTCCAGGCGATATTTGAGGACGATTACCTTTCCTCTCTATCACCGATGTACTATTCCTCCTCTCCAGGTTTGAATTAGGTAAAGGTGGCTTCAATTCTGGTGGAGGAGGCTTTGGCTTCGGCTGCGGCTTCGGGACTGGGTACTTGTTGTTTGAACTAGGAACTGGCATGTCGACGGATTGGGATGCTCCAGGTTCTAACAACCTATCCAAAGCTAATGCAGTAAAATGTGGCATCCTTCTACACTACCACAACAACAGTCATCAAATGAAGAATTAAATTCAGTAACTAGAAATTTAGAGATTAAACAACTTAGTTAACAATAAATCAATTCCAAATAAAATCCATAATAGAAGACAATAGAAGTTAAATTTCGTAATTAGGGGAAAATTAGTGGAAATTAAACAAAATTAGCTTAGATTGATCATAAAATCACAAAAATAAACTACATATTCACAAAACTAGCTTAGATTGATTATAAAATCACAAAAATAAACTACATATTCAACAAAAATTCAACTTTCGACACAATTACTTGGCCAAACTATACAATCAAATCAAGAAACCCCCCAAAAAAAAAAAACAAATAGAGCCTAATGCTCCATTTCTAGCTTAGATAAGATTTCTAGATGACAAAAACTTAAAAAAAAAAAAAATCCACCCAGCTTTTAAGCTAAGCTACACAATCAAAGCAAGCGAACCCCGATTTTGATATCAAATAGAAAACCAAAACGATACTGTTTGGTAGCTGAAAAACTGCTGACGCAAATCTTAACATCAACTTTTGTACACGGATAGAGAAAGAGAAAACCCCGATTTCGATATCAAATAGAAAGCAAAAACGATACTGTTTGGTTGCTGAAAACCAGCTGACGCAAATCTTAACATCAACTTTTGCACACGGAAAAAGAAAGAGAATAGAAATACAGCTAAAAAATTACCTTGATAGCGAAGGAGCTGAAGGAGAGGAGACGCCTAAATATAAATAAACAAATAAAAATGAGCTGATAATATTAACAGAGAAATGAAGGATCAGGGGAAGAGTGAATGAAGATTATTTGGTATAGAAGAGCGAGGAGAGGGGGGTGGGAGGGGGGGGCAAAACGACATGATTTTGGAAGGAGTAGCACTATATGGTGGTGTCCTGTCGTAGATTGAAATTCACGACTCTTCCCTCCCTGCTATCTGTCAACAAGGGGAAAATAAAGAAGCCGCTTGTTGTCCAAGTTTTTTGGGTTTTTTTTCTTACAAAAAATAAAATAAAATGAATTGGCCTTTTCGGGTATAAATTATCTCGATCGATCTCCCTAGGGCACACGTAATTGCCCACGTTTTGTGAAGGGGTTTTTCTGGACTTTTCAAAGTTCAGATTAGTCCCCAAATTATAACTATTTTTTCTATTTAGTTGTTTTAATATATTTTCTCTCAATTAGATCCCTCTTTCCCCTCTTGCATCCTATGAGGAATAAGGCCTTGCCTATTTTGAATTGGGTTGGATGTAATAAAATAATATAGCCAACTATTGATCACTGCTAATATTTTTTAAGAGTGGCTTTGACTTTGTAAACTTTGAAATATTTTTTTTTCAAATATCCAATGCTTAAAGAATATTATAATTTTAGATTTAATGATATGTATGTATAAATATCAAAATGGTATTATTATTTAATTTAAATAGTAAAGTAAGAAGATAAGTGATTATTAATTAAGGGTTTAGAAAACTTTCATGACAAAATTGGGTTTACTGCATAAATTGTAAAATCATAAAGCGAATCATCATCTTAATTAAACCATAATTAATTTTACTGGGGTCTTTTTATTTAAATTTTCACTAATATTTAGTGAAAAAGTCCTAGCTTCTTATGAAATTGCGTTGTCTTTTAAGCATAATAAACCCATTGTAGATATGGATGGAAGAATCAAACGGTAAGCTTCTGGACTCTTAGGGATTTAATTGGGATTAAACATAATCTGAAGGTCCAATTGAA